CTGCATCTTTTAAAAGATATGCAATTAAAAGGAAAAAAAGTGGACCTGATTTAAATCAAATTACTGTGCAGGCAAATTAAGCAGTGGGATTTAATTTGAACTGTTGTAAAAATGCTAATTTGAGAAGAGCCTCAAAGGCTTATGCAAATACAACTGTATATTACAATTTTTTATTAGGAAAAATATAAAGTACAAGTTTACCAAGATTTACAGCATCACATCATCTGGAAACACAGTATCATTAGCTTTTATTTCCTCCAATGTTGTGCTCCAACTATTATAGTATAAGGCTCCTAAGAGAAACACATTCAAGGTTTTTCACTTAAGGATATAAGCTTAAAGCAAACCTAAAGGCTTTTCAAAACATGCACATATTTAGCAAGTTTATACCACAAAGATCTCATAGGTCCAGGTTACAAAGTGACTACTATGTAAAAAAAGGAATAGCAAATCAATTTTTACAGTCAGATTTTCCTTTTTTACCTAATTAATTATGCCATTTGCACACAGGATAAAGATGTAGAACTAATTTCCATTAGCCATTTCTGGCTATGATAAAGTAGTTTAAATAATGATTTTACAAATTCTTGACAATGAAAATAAGTGCAGACGTGACGTCAGTCTGTATGAACTGTTTACAGAATGCAATGAAAATCACAAATACAGCACGTTTTGTTAGGGAAAGGGTGCTTTTGTATCCAGGAACATCTGCAAAGTCGGGTTTACATCCAAAACAGAGGAAAACAAAGTTAAGGAAAAGTAGCACAAAAAATTAACATTCAGATATTGGACACACATTTCTGGACACTCCACTCAAAGCGCTTTACAGGTAATGGGGACTCCCCTCCACCACCACCAGTGTGCAGCCCCACCTGGCAACTCAAGAGCAACTCTTGAGCTTGATTCCAAACTGGAATGACTTCTGTGTAGAATCTGCTGGTTGTCCATGGATTTATATCAGGGACTCCAGCTCCCTTACCACCTTCCAAAAGTTTTATCTAGGTTAAATGGTGTCTCTACATTATCCATCTGTTAGCATGCTCTGCTGTGTATTGGCATCCCATCAGATCACGCTATACCTAAAGCAGAGCGGTGGCTCTGTGGCTCAGGATCTGTGCCTGTGACTGGAAGGTTGCCGGTTCAAATCCCGCGGCTGGCAGAGGAATCCTACTCCGTTGGGCCCCTGAGCAAGGCCCTTAACCCCAACTGCTCCAGGGGTGCTGTACAATGGCTGACCCTGCGCTCTGACCCCAAGCTTCTCTTCCTGTCTGTGTGTCTGTGTCTCCATCGAGAAAAGCTGGGGTATGCGAAAAGATGAATTCCTAATGCAAGAAATTGTATAGGGCTAATAAAGAAACATTAAACCTTCTACTTTGAGGATTAACCTTATATGAGGGAACAGTTTCTGCAAATCTAAAATATAATATACTTTGGTTATATCAAAGCATTTTTTTAAATTCATTTTTAAAATAAGTTTGATTTGTTAAATAATTCAAACAAGAAAGAACAATAATATTTTTGGCAAAGGATAATTTTTTTTTGTCACATATGTTTTAATCAAATTTTTAAGTAAATATCTGCAGTATGTATACTGTTTGCCATTTATTTGATGCAAAAAGTTATTACTCCCTCAGACACCATACTATCCTTGCAACTGGAAACAATCAATTAAAACACTATTATGCAGAGCTGAATTAGCCAAAAGCTGTCGAAGGCAGTAGGGAAGGATAGAATCTAAAATAATAAATAAATCTCATAGGATGTAATATAACTCGTGTGGAGAAAAAAACTGTGAGTGCTGCGTTTTGATGACTGAACACTCAAGGTAAAACTAATATAAATATTACAGGTATTTAAAAGGATAAGGCAAGAAGCCATGTACAATGCTCTCTGAAATATTACCAATGAAGTCAGAGCCCAAAAAGCCATACAATCCTGTTGAAGGATATACCATAGGAAGCTCTAAGGATTTTTTTAAATTGTCTGTGAGGGATAACAGTCTAAACCACTACCAGTAATCCCTGGAGATTTAGGTTTTTTGCTGCTGTCTCTATGGACAAGGATATTTACCACTGAAATCACATGTGGCAATGACTTGGGTATACCACTAGCTGTACTTGTACAGAGGTCCAGAAGTACAGCACGTGATCCAGTGGAAAAATACAAATTAATTCTTCCTTCAAAGCACTCGATCAAAATGGACAACCGGTTCTGTCCATTGTCACATGATGCATGAAAGTAACCAACTGAAACCAAGTGAAAAACCAATGATTATGGTAAAAATATCACAGTTTGTAAATGTTTAAACATTGAGAAAGAAAATCAGGTTCTTAAAAGTTCTTGAAAATTGATACAAAGATACAATGTATCCAAGATGCTTGTGTCCCAACTGAAGACACGAGTCTTCCCTCACGTTTTCTAAGAACGATTAAGAACTTAAGAAAGGTTGCTGACAAGAGGAAGCCATTTGGCTCATCTAGACCTTTCGATAGTTAGTCCAAGGACCTTTCGATAGATAGTTGATCCAAGGATTTCATCTCACCATTTCTTGAAAGAAGCCAGGGTACTGCTTTCAATTACTTCTCTGGATTTCTTGTTCCAAACTCCCATTACCCTTTTAAAAGAGTACTTCCTGTTCTCAGATTTAAATGCACTTAGACAAAAGCTTCCATGTAATATTGTTTAATGGAAGCTCAATATTAAATATGATTTTTTGTCTTTGGTCTTATTTAATGTTATTAGAAAACACACACACAAATCACCTTGTGGACTTCGATGACAAGTGCCTGTTCAGGTGTCCCAGTTGCAGATTACAGAGGTTATTTTATTCATTAAGCTCTGCATGACACTGTTAACAAGACCAGAAGGTCATCTGATTGCCTTCTTTCTAGTTTACTAGAGACAATTAAGCTGTGCTTTGTGCTTTTCCAAGACCTATTTGATGTACAAATTAAAACTCTTCCCTTCGTAGAAAATAATATGACCTAGTGTTGGAGTGCTTGGTCTAAGTGCATTATTGCAGGAGCTCTGCAGTGTAATTTACACTAAAAAGCACATTCACCAAAGTGAGATATCAGGTTAATAGTCCTATAACTAAAAATAAAATTAGTCTTATTGATTCAGTTTGTCAAAAGACTAAATCTTTCAATTGCAATGCCTATCTGTATTTAGGTCAATTTCACCTCTTAGGAATCATCAGTGTCAGATGTTACACAAGCTACAGGATATCATGAAATGTGTAGAGGTTTGCTAGTTATATAAGCAGTGCACATTATGCTGCATACACTTATTCGTAGCCTACTAGAGGGAATCCCTTCAAAAAGGCATGCTGTGACTAGTGTTCAAATGGCAGAAGTTTGAGGCAATATTGAACAGCCTCCTTAAACTTCCACTTTGGTTTATCCACACTTTCCCTATAAAAGAGGCCTCCGCAAAACATGTGTAATAATCTGAAAGTATGTGGCATCAACAGAACATTCAAGGTCAGCTTCTTCACTTTTCATAAGTTCTTAGTCTCTGTGCTGCTGTGGCATCCCATATGGACTGGAACAATTTTTCATCGCCAACAGGGAAATACTTCCAGACCTACTGCATTTTTTTGATGGATCAAGCTATAGGCTTTTAAAGCATTCACCACCACTTACTGTGCAGATGGCAGGAGCTCTGAGCTGTTTAAGTATTTATGCAGATGTAGTGCCTCTCATAAGAAAATTGTAGACTGCAGTCTCAGTAGGACGGAGCATTTGTGCTGGATTTTTTTAAAATCTCATTTCCACCCAAACAGAAACCCTACAGCAAATTTGTATTTTAAATACATTTAACTTCTTAATTACATTTATTTCCACGGTTAAACACTGGACACCAGCTTGCTTTCTCTCCATCATTATTTTACAGCTTCTACAGTCCCCAGACCCACGATCAATTTGCTTTGGCTTTGATAGTATAAACCAGCACAGCTGTCAAAAATATTATATCAGAGCAGCTGTTGTGACAGAGAGACTGGGTATTGCATTTTAATGGGACCAGAAGCACAACTGTTTATTTTTTTTTATTACAGCTGTTTTCAAATTAACCTAAACAGTGCCTTGGACTTGCTACTGAAAAAGAACAATTCTTTTGTTAATTTTATAAACTACATTCAGAAAAAGTATGCTGTGTGTCATGTTTTTAAGTTACCTTAACTGAAAACAAAAATATATTTTTAATAACAACAATTCTGAAAATCAGTGAAGGTTTTTTACATGCTATTACTGTGATGCAAAACAGTGTGAAGATTAACATTACAGGTTGTTTATTGAAATTATAGACAGATTTAACACTGGATCTGTGAGGTTTTTGTTTTAAAGGCTTGTATTTCGCAATGTTTGAGAAATTAGGAAAATGAATACAACTCAAGTCGTTTAGGTGTGTTACCCAATATTACACATATATTTGAATGATATGAAAACCACGTGTGGAAATAAAGGAATAATGTACAAACAAGGGCTACACAATTACTCAAAATTATAAATTTTTCTATTATTCCAGCCATATTTTATAAATGATGCATTTTGCCGTAGCAAGTCATTACTTAAGGCAGCAAAGACCAAAATATACTCGAAAAAAAAGACTCTGACATTTCACTGTATGGTGTGTTTAGCTCCCCTGTACAGTACTCAAAATCATGTGGGGAAAAAAATCACAAAGTACTAGGAAACAGAAACTTACTCCACAGCACTGACCAACCTTCCCTGCCCTTCAGGTAATGTACCCGACATCCACTGCATTCTGCACTCCTCAAACACGCAATGTAAACCTCTATTTACAGAACCTGTTGCTGCACCGTGATGACAACTCACGTTTCTTTGATTGTAGATTACATATATATCTTTCATCTGCTAGGATATCCTTGCATGTTAATATCAATTCAACAGTAAAAATGATGATGATGATGATAATAATAATAATAATAATAATGGTCAATGAAGCAAGTTTTACGTGAACTTATAGCTGCGACTTACTCTCAGCTTCAGCTAGGAAAAGGAAGCACAGGAGCAGCACCGCTGGCCTGGCTATGTTCATCATCCGACAGCTTGGCACCAGCATCCTTTGGCAGCCTCTCTCTCACAGGCTCACAGGCCACTGTGAGTCAGCCTGGTCTGATTTCTCAGATGCAGTATATTCACAGCCTGGAAGAAAAGGAAGCATGAATGAAACCACAGTAGTTCTCAAAACATTTCAAACTCTGCAGAAATTATTGAGGCCATTCCTGACCTAGGCTGGGGAAATAAGAGATGTTTGTCTGCGTGATTGGCACAGTTGATTTTGGATTAACAATGATTCTGAATTCTTTGAAAGGGAAGCATATTAATAATAGCCAAAATTAGCATGTAAAGCCTACATTGAAGGCTGATATAAAGTTCACAATTTTCAAGACCAAAGAACATGTTGTTTGTTCAGATTCAATGTTGAATATGAAATCTGGAAACAATTAAAATTAACCTACAGTATAAAGGTTTTTAAGACATAAGATATCATTTTTCTTTGAAAACACAAATTATAATGAAGACACTAAAGATACAGCTGCTATTTTTATAACTATAATCAACATGATTAAGCAAGAGTGACTTTTTTAAAGACTATGATTTATGTAAGACCAGACTACAAGTACAAACACTTGAAGTTTCTGTTTGAGTACCAAAACATCTTGCTATGCCCCTCTCTATCAGAAAAAAAGATACAGAAATCCCTTCCCCTGACATGAGCAAAAAGCAAACCTTACAGTCCTCATTGCGAGAGCACTGTCCAACTAATCCCACACAACCTTCAGCAACATTGAGACTGCTGTGCACAATGCATGGGGAATTCTGGTTGCTGCCAGCTACTGACATGACCCAGGCTCGAACCTGTGATCATAGAGCTCAGCTTTCGCTCTGATGAGCACCTTAACCATTTGAACCTATCAGCAGGCCCTGGCTTTCAACAGTCTTGAAATACAAATGGTATGATGTCTGCAGCTCTGATTCAATTTTGGAGACTTTATTGTTACTACAGCTGGACAATGTGCTATATGCGAACTTTATTTTCCTCCACAGAAGGATATTTCATTTTCACACTGATGAAAACAAATGTGAATTTGGATTTCAAACATCCGTTTCCGCACACTGTCAGGGAACTGCTTAATCAGTTATTATTCTTCATCACTGCAAATAAGGTTAAGACTGTCAACACAAAAGAGGAAACTATAAAAACTATGGTGAAAATATGCATGCCCAGATAGAGTGTCGATAATAACGCCACACAATTCTGAACACAGGTGACCACAAGGAAAACAAAAAACAAAGGAGTTGTTCGTGTTAAGCAGTATCCTTGTAACTGAACACTGACAAGAGTACGAGATCAAAGTATGAACAAGGGATGTCCACAGGGCTGCAAATGTGAACATCTGATTTCCATTAATTTGCTGTCTTGGTCTCCTGCAGCTGGACTGAGAATTAGTAGAGGATGGAATAGTGTTTGTTACTTCCTAAATCAGCCCACTCCTCTCTTTTTCTTCTTTTTTGTATCCCCTTTGGCATTCTGAGAGTCGTCCTTCTGTCTTAAAACCTCAAAACCACTCCCCTCACTTTGCAAATGCCATGTATGTTCAAAGGGACCTTTAGCAGTTACATTTTGGCTGCATTTTCACTTTGGAAAACAGGAAGCAGGGGAAATTTTTCAATAAAATAAATCACCAGAAATTGAACAAAATAGACAATAAAAGCATACACACAGATGACAGAAGAGAAACATACAGTATATGTCATGTCATTAAGGAATTAGTCATTTTTGTTTTCTTATTTGTAGCTAAAGACTGGAAAAGAGGACAAAGTGCAAATTTGTTTTCTTTTACTTTCTTTGGCTAGCGAGGAAAAACATGCCACTTTAATTATGTAATAACGTGATTTGCTAGTGTGTTTAGTGCTTTCACTGCCAGCCAACAGTAATGGGAAATTAAGATCAGGTCAGGTATAGACCCAGGGAAAATGCACAGTCACTTCATCACTGTCCCAGAAACTCACCACTACTTCCAAGATCTGCAAAATACCATCTGCTGCATTAGTCTCTGCTTCTCAGTCTCCACACACCCTGTCCTTTAAACCTCCCTGCAATATACCTCTGAATGTGTCCATTCAAAATGGAAAAATAAGTTATGTTAAACCACATTATACGGGCTGTTCAAACCAGCATATCATTACATTAATTAAACAGGGGAAAAAATCTATTCAGTTTAAAGAATTAAATGTGAAAAGCAACACTAAGCACTTTTAAAAACAATGCCAATTTATGTGTGTGGGGGTACGAGTCATAATAATATATAATAATTATGAGAACAGTGGTCTGACAAGTGGTGCTACAGAAGAGCTATGGATTAATTTAATTTAAGCCATAAAAATCCATCACTGTGCTACTGCAGCATTGTTATTATACTAAAATATCCAAATCTGCAGACCAACCATTTTGCAAGACACCACCCAACAGCCATTTATAAAACAACTGCAAGGAACTAACAGCAAAGTTAAACAATTCTCATTAGAGCAGCTGTGGGACAAACCTAGCAATAAATGATACACCCTTTAAATGCAATATATTGACAGAATTTACAACAACATAGTAGTAAATCCAAAATATAGCTACATTTAATAAAAATGATAAAGGCCACAAAAATAGGGCAGCACAGAGACATTGGGGAATCGCCGTACAGCCAAGAATACACAGATTAAGGGTGATTTTATACTCTAAATTGTCCCTTTCTAATGAAGGAGGATAAGAGGATTTCAGGAATGTGGAGCTTCTACTTGGTACAGCAAGTACATGCCATGGAACCAATATTTATTTTATTGTTTTTTAAGTTGGGTCAAATGACAGTTTTCACTGTATGTGATTTCACTGGTTCCTGATTTCCTTTATATATCAAATAGGCCACGTCATTCTGAATATGTACAGTACGGTTAAACCACTTTTAATTTAAGGGTATTCATACTGATAGAAAAATGTGGGCCTTTTTATTTCATTCAGAATGTTTAGAGAACAAACTTCACTTCACAGTGAGCTTCACGTTAGTATAAACTAATACACTAATCAGGTAGGAACTAATTTAGTTTAAGGACACAGTAAGAGAGCCTTACTTTATATTTATTCTGTGAAAGGGAGATCTCCTGGGAAGATATTTCTATAGACTGTCTAATGAACTCTCGCAACCAGCCAGCCGTATCTTCAAATCCCTTTATTTTTTTTCTGGCAAACATTAAACATTTTGCTACAAATCTCATTTTAACTTTTGCATTTTGGATTTAAATGATGAGAAAAAAATCAGACCAGCTAGTTCCCTTGCAGAACGGACACACTTTATTCTACCAGAATAAAAAATTCAGTGTAGGCCTCACCTTAAAAGCAGAAATGCTATTATGTAATCATCATTTTAGTGAAGGCCCATCACAGCCTTCAGATTTTAGAACCATTTTGACATGCAGCCTGTACTATTAGTCTGACAATCTGCAAAAATTTAACAATTTCCATCCTTTCTGTCCAGCTTTGTATCTTTGGCACAGAAAATATTTGAAAGCAAAACCACAAGGATAGAGCGTATCAAAAGCACACATTTCCTTTCAGTTCCTTGGGTTCATCCTTCATTCTAAGGCATAAAATGACAGAGAAGGCCAATAGACAGCAGCCCAGTCACAGTCAATCTGTATCTCTGGGAGACAGGCACAGCCACCTGCTTCTCAGCAGTTTGCCTCATGTCAGGGCAGAGGAAAAATGTGTAGAAACCAAACACAACTAAAACAATCTTCCTCTTATTTTCAAAATGCAATGTGTTTGAAGACCACTTGATTGAAGGGGGAGGGGAACAGTCGCATCTGAAGTCAGCAATACAACAGCAGAAAAAATGAAAGACTATTTTTTTCCCCGGCTGCCTGACAAATATCATACTCTTAAATTAATGCTGAATGCCTTTTATGATAACACGCCAGCTTCAATCCCATATAACATTTTTCACGCCCATTTTTTTTTCTCTGCACGATAGCAATAGATTTTTACAGGCACAGAAACGCTGGAGTTTATTTTGTTTTCAATCTGACCTCCCTTTCCTGCTGATTTTGGCCAGCAAATCTATTTGTATGATCTGTAACCACGGAGAAGCAAAAACATTATGCCCCTATTACACTCTGGCTTCCAACTTCGCTCCCAGGGTCAACATAATTGCATGCGGATTTCCGCTTTATTAAGCAAATAAAAAAGGAGAGGGAACAGCATGCACCACACATCATTCAAAATGAAGTCTAAAGCAGCCCCGTTAGAGATCCAGTTAGAGATCCAGTTAGAGGAGCTTACCAGTGAAAACATGCTGCTCTTTCCTTTCCACTCGCTTGTGGAGGCCTCCAACACTGTGATAAAATAAATGCCACCAGCAAAGGACCTATCATTTCTAATTCCATCCTCGTCGCCCGTCATTCTCGCTGTGTTTCTGTCTTTGAAGAGTGAAGGCGTTGAAGAAGCATATGTACGGTGCTTCGTGTGGGCTGGGTCTGGCACACAGCACAAAGCCATCTGAACACCTCAGAGACACATGGGAGTCCAGCAGCACAGCCCTGAGTGTAGGTGGCAGCTTGCTCGGCACTGGGCATGGCTGACCAAGGCCAAGCGCCAACCGCACAATTTTAACGTCATTTATGGCTCTGCAACGCAAATTAGTGAATATTCACATCGTGTTTACTGGTTTTTAAGACAAAAGCAGATAATCATGGCACGTTTAAAAAACGTATGTATATTATAACATACAAAGTGTGCCATCTATGGGATATAATCAAAACCTATAAGGTCAGTTAAATGTGTTTGTACTCACTAGATTAGGATTTGTGTTAATTTTATGTATTTTGACCATTTTAAAATTGTCTAAAATGTAAGCACTCCTGTTTTAATATATTTGTAATATCCCTATGTAAGCTATATTTTTCAAAATCTTACTATGTGATGAATATTTTTTATGCAACCTTTCCTCTTTTCAAACAGACTTTGGAATCGACAGTATTTCATCTGATATTCAGTCTTCTTTTTTATAGCTGTGCAGTATAACTGAAGTCTACTCAATCTGGAAAGTGCGACAATGTATGATTATATGTCCTAATCACAGACATAACATTGTTAG